CCCCCCCCCCATATACATCACTACTGTGTGGTGGGATCAACAATAGTTTGCAGTAGGGGACCAGGAAATCAACACTTCTGGAGATTCTTCAGCACAGCAGGAATTGGCAGTGGAAGTGGTGAGCATTCAATGTTGCTTTTGCAGGAGATACTTCATTTTACATTTTAGCAATAGAGTTGCGTTAAGAAGTAATCCAGCATTAAAGTGTACGGAAACCCACAAAGCTTCCTTACTCTTTTGCCCCATCCTCCAAAATAACTATACTTGCCTAGATCGTGCTCCAAGGCCCTGTAGCATTGCTTACATCCCTCCTGCTAGCTTCTTGATCTGATGTCCATGACTGCGTAGTTAGGCCGCCTAGGCTTCTATGGGGTTGGTAGATTTGATAGAAGCCGATCTGTCTACCAGCCCCATAAAATTCTATGTGGCCAGCCTGGCAGACGCTGATGTCAATTTAAGCCAAATATGGGATGTAAATAATACTGCATGCCTCGAAGTGAGATCTAGGTAAAGGTGCCCATACACTGCACGATTCTCGTACGAGAATCGCTAGAAATCCTGCGGTCGCACGAGAATCGCGCAGTGTATGGAAGGTGTGCGACCGTTTCTACTGTACGGTCGCACGTCTTCCGGCGAACCAGCAGGCTAGGAATCGTACGATTCTCGGCGAGTTAGTGGCCTGCTGGTTCGACAACTGCCCAACGGGCCAGTGTGCGCACACAGCCCGTTTGCAGTCATCGTAAGCCTCTCAGGGGGGCGGGCTTGCTATGATCGCAAGTACGATCTGCCTGTCCAAGATGTACGTTTTTTTAAGTACTTTACAACCCGCGCAAGACAAAAGTCTTGCGAGGGTTGTAAAGTGTATGGGCACCTTAAGAATAGTGATTTGAGGGCGGGGGCCAAGGGAGGGGGTTAGACCTACCGAGCAGAGGTAAAAGGCAAAGACAACTTTGGCAATGATTCCTTACACTTTAAATCTAGAATACCTCCCATGATGTCCACATTTTGGTGCCAACCCCACACTGCCTTTTGTCTTTAAAAAAAAAACGCTCCCGACAAATACAGGAAGTTACAAATATAAGGTAAATACTAGTAACCTCAATAATGTGATTGTATTTTATTTAGTCCTGACAAGTAGGTATTCAGAATTCAGTTCCATTGTTTAGGTTGAATAAAAAAGAAAAACACAAATGTCCATCAGATTCCACCTCTGGCTATATTGACTCAGGGGTTTTTTGCCTTCTTCTGGCTCAAGGTTGGTGACATTTGTGCCTATCCGGTTTTTTTTTCTCTATCTTGCAGTGGAGGAAAAAACAACTTGCTGGATCATTAGTTTGTCTATGGGGAGACGGATGTAAATGGATGTGTCCCATTTACATCAGATTACCTCCCTCCCACTCCAGTCCACCATTAACAGGTCCGCCAAAACAGTACTCTGTTGCCTTTGTTCTTTCAGGCCTGGCCGGAGTCGGCGGTAATCGGATATAAACAGACATGCGTCCGTTTAGATCCGGATGCGGGTAGACTAACATGGGGCTTCTGGTCAGATCCGCCTGATCGGAATGCCAGTGTAAAGGAGGCCTAATCCCACAAAGCAGTTGGATTGATTCCCTAGATAAAATGTAACTATCCCTATTAATGATCATGCCAAACCAATCACTAAAATCTCTTTTTTTTTTTTTATCTGCAGCTTTCATTAAAATAAATCCTAATGCTCCCTTTATGACACTTTTATGCACTTCCCAGTTGTCCTGCGCCATTGTATCACAAGCATCTGATAGGGACTACAAGTGGCTGTTTTGTAACACGCATTACACAGGCATGGACCACTGTTGTCACCATCAGGAAGCCTGCCCTGTGAATTGCCATGCCCCATTGCTGAAGTACATGCATGCAGACAGGAAGTGGCTGCAGGAGATCAGAATCACTGAGATGCAGCAAAGGATGACAGGAGGTGTAAAGTGTACTATTTGAAGAATAGCAGTTGTTTGACACGGGGTCATTCATTTAGGGGTTACATCATCTTTATTTTTTTATTTTAAATAATTACTGATGCCATTAGCTGTAAAAAAATAAACAAAATCCTTTTAAAATTACTCTTTTGGCTTTGTCATCACTTCCTCTATGCGGTAGGTCATTCCACAGCTTGTTCTGCCAGAATGAGCCACTTTCTTAGGAAATGGTGAAATATTTCTTCCATATGAGCTTGACGTCCTCTTGGCCTTTTTGTACTGTCCTTGTGGAAAAAAAACAAGTTCCTCTGCCAAATTCTTATATTGAACTGATATATTTCTATACATGTTGATTAGATCATTTCTAAATTGTTCTTCCGTATGTGACAAGAATTTGTCTGGTTTGCCACATTTAAATTATGTTGTATGACTTCACTACTGCTTTTCATGATCTTTTGTTTTTTGCTGTTTGTATACTTTATTCCTTGTCTTTGTTTCAGAACCCCTCCGGCTTTCAGTCATTCTTATTGGCTAAGTCGCTTAACTTTTTGTTTTTCCAGTCAGAGCTTCTTTTGTTACTGATGGTGAAGCCTTGCCAGTAAATGCAAGAAGACATTTTAAGCCCAAACTGCATGAGTACATTTTATTATTTTAAGCGCATGGACTCCTGCGATAAATTGCTCAGGCCTGATCCCCGCTGTGTTTTGCTGTGATCACTAGACAATTGTGTGTCATTGCAATCGCCCAGTGACGAATGTGCGATACTGCATTTGTGAAGGATGAATTGGGGGTAATGGTGAACGTGCACAGTTGCCTACTGAACACAGTTGAAGTCAAGGGGGGATCAGCAATTGAACATGAAAATTGGACATTGCTGATTTCCGAATCCTTTTGTGTAGTTTGGGTTTTATTATGGCCAAAGACCTCCAAGAGTTGTTAGTGGCTGAGTTTCCATTGTTGATTTCAGATTCATGAAGCTCTCATCAGGCCCTGGACACTGCACCCCGCCCCTCATCTGAATCGAATCAACCTCTCCCCCGAGGGGTCGCAGGACTCTGGTATTTCAGAAGATTTGTTGGTCAGTTTCCCAAGGGCAGTCTAGTGGTATTTATATTTCTAAAGTCATTAAAGCAGGTTTCCACCTGAAATGAAACGTCCCTAAAATAGAGCGCATCTTAATCTGCTGTGGTTTAAGCTACTTTGAGGAGACTTGGTGGGAAGTTGGATTTTAAGAACAATCAGATAACGGAAATGTTTATTTGTTTGTCTCCTGACTATAAGACAAGTTTCAGGAGCCAAATGGCTAAAGCACATGTATTTTAAACCTTTCGTGTAACTTTTGGTTGAGGCACATGGGGGTCTGTTATATGCAATTTGCAGAGCCATTTGCCTTGAGAAACTTTGAGAATGCTTTTCCTGTATGAATAGAGACAAAATGGATGTTCGTTGTATGTTTTTTTATATGTTGAATGTAATGTAATACTGCATAATGGCCACTAGATGGAGCGCATAGGCAATAAGTACTTATTTGCCCTGCTCTTCAGCTCCATCTAGTGGCCGTAATGTGATATTACATTACAACTGCTTCCAAGCCACCACCAAAAGACTGGTGCTGGCTAAATATAAGCGCTCATCTCCGCTCTCCCCATGTGCAAAACCTCTAGCCACACTGCGTGTATCCAGCGTTCTCTAACATATTTCACCCAAGTGGCCCTGATCTCTACAGGTAGGCCCATTTGTTGGATAAACCATGTCAAAGTGGGAGGATGCAGGCAAGGTTTTTGGCATAACCATCTGGATCAATAAAGATCTTTTGAGAACGTTGGATTTGCATGATGTGCAGCTACATATTCTTCATGACGATATTGATGATTTTGTCCACCTTGCTTTTTTGTCTAGCAATCTGCCATGTCCCTGAAATTGTAAAACCCATTGTTCTCGGACTAGGAGCTGACCTTCCCTATATCACCCTAGCTCTTGAGCAGAATTCGATTTAATGCTGGTAAAAAGAAGCAATGGATTCCAAAGGTTCTAGAACATGCGAATGCATGTGCAATTTAGATCATTGAGGTATATAGTGTGTTGTGCTGATGCCATTAAATGTTTCCTAAGCCCCCCCTCCTTTTAGTCCTCTCCATTGTATTACCTATATGATTTGCTTAATCTCCACTTTCATTAAGTAAATTGCTCGATATTGATATTGATTCAGTTAGCTTTGTGATTTCTGTATGCTATGCTGCGTATAAATGTAATGTGTTTTTTTAACTTGAATTGGTCCCTTTATTTTAAAGCTGTATTATAGAGTGATGTGAGGAATACTTTCCTATAATTATATACAGATGGATCTGGTTTCTTGTTTCATGATTTCCAATCCCTGGTGACCCCCCCACCCCCCTTTTTTTGGGTGATGGTTGTTTGGCTTCAGTCATTTGATCTTCCTTAGCTAAACCTCTCACAACAGAGTCTTTTGTAGCTTTGTGTCTGTAAAAAATAAATCAAGGCAACTGGACTTGCCATATATTTTCTTGAAGACGTTTGACTGGTCATCCGACCAGCTTTCTCAATTATAGAAAACAAATGCTTTGACTACAAAGCAACCCTTGTTGAAATTGATTGATTTTAAAGGTGTAGTAATTACCAGTATATACAAAAAAAATTAGATTTTATTTAGTACAATTTAAAAGTACATTATAAAAAACAACATTCAAATTGTGCCCCGGTAAGTATAGCTTAGCAGTGTTACTCCAACGCCAGGTCAACCTTCTAAATATACAGTGTCCAAGGTTCACTGTATCAGGACAAATTATCTGGTCATATGAAATATAGATATCCAATGATGGAGACTTGACGTGGTGCTATACCACAAATATAAGTAGTGACGCATTTCGCAGAGTAGAATCTGCTTCATCAGATTTTGTGCGTGGTAATTTGTCTATAAAAGAATCCAATATATTCGTATTAAACTAGCTGAGATTACATATGTGGTACATAGTTTCTATGTGCATACATGTGTATCTGGGAGCACAGGCTCCTTCATCTACACCTTCCGTCCACAGCCAGGCATCAAATACCATCTGACCCGAGGACAATAGGAGATCCCAGGAAGCCTTCAGATTAGGGATGCACTGATACCGGTTTTTCGGTATAGAGTACCAATAAAAATGTTTTTCCGTATTTACCGATACCGGATGTCCCATTAAGGAAGCCAGGAGGCATATAAAGATTTGCCACCCGGCTTCCCGATTAGCAGGGAAGCCGCCTCCATGATCTCTCCTCACCAGGTCAAGAGGGAGCTTGAAACTAGCTTTCTGGCCAATCAGAAATCCGGGGGGCGGTTAATGACTCTCCTTGCGGCTTCCTGATTGGCCAGGTTCTCGTCCAACCAGGAAGCTAGGCGGCGAGTCATTACACGCTGATTGGCCCGGGAAGCCAGCTCCATGTTCCCTCGTCACAAGTGACGAGGGAACATGGAGTCAGCTTCCTTGCCAATAAGGAAGCCGGGCAGTGTGTAATGACTCGCTGCCCGACTTCCTGATACCGGAAGTTCAGGTATGGGGCTAGGCATCAAAGCATTTGGGCGAGTAAGTGTACTCTCCCAAATACTCGCCATCGGCACCGATGCTAGTATTGGTGCATCCCTACTTCAGATAGTCTATAATATAATCCCTAGTGCAATCACTCACCCAAACTATTCGCTCCAATTTCCCATAAATATATTGTGTCCCTATAGGTACTTATCCCAATTAGGCTGGTAATCGGTAACCGTATGTTGCCATAAAAATCAAGTTGTTTTATGGCAGATTTCTATAGGGCTATGCACTGCTATATCATAAGAAAACCGTACAATATTGCAATCCATATCAGGCTAATATTGAGTGATCAAGAGATGAGGAGCATTTCCCCTAGTCTTTTTAGTACCATTGGAACTGGTATCCATATCGCCAGGGGGTAATGGGCAGCGGAGCCTATGGTCAGGATAAGAGGTGCCAACTACAACTTCATCTGGCCATCCTTGTATATCCCCTACCAGGGCGCCACCATGTGCACAGCAGTCCATTCTCAATTTCTGAATTAAGAAAGCTAGTCGGATGACCAGTGAATTGTCTTCTAAGAAATATACAGCAAGTCCAGTTGCCTTGATTTTATTACAGATATACCATGACCTGGACGAATGAGAACCTTCAGACATTTTGTAGCTCTGGTTCCCCTGTAAGCTCTACCTGTGTGGGGTTTTTTGTTGTTGTTTTATTTGCTTTGGTAAAAGCAGTTTTATGTAGTAATTTCACCTTCAGCAATTGTGTATCATATCCATAATGGCTGAATTTTTAGTGGTGAGTAAATGTGTTATGTAGCCATTTTCCATTGCAAACCAGCATAGGAATCTTAGTGAGGTCAACTCGCTAAACTGCGGAAATTATTTAAACTAATTGATATTCGCAGTCTTTATTTTTTTCTTGGAAGGAGTATAGAAGCTCTGGGGCACATAGGATACTCCTGTGCTCCTCAGCTCCATCTAGACACAGTATTGCTGTGCGAATGGCATTCACCCAGCTGTATGCTGTGTGGAAGATTTATAAATCAGCCACTTAATCCAGGGCTTGACAAATCCCGGGCGCCAGGTCGCCATGGCGACTAACAATTGCGTCCTGGTGCCTGGGCCTTTTGTCTGCCTGTTCATTGTCCCTCACCGCTTCCTCTGCCGCCACAATTAGCTCTGCTTTCCTGTCCTTCTCCCCACTAGGCGCTGGATGCAGCGGTCTGTGTTCCCTTCAATCACCGGCTGTGTCGGCAGCGAGGATTGGACCACTCCAGCCGGTGCCCAGCAGGTTGGAGAGAGATGTCAGTCGCTGCGCCTTTGCGCTTTCCCCCACCCTGTGCCCCCTTTTCCCATTCAGCGACTCCCAGGCGCTGGATGGGACACTTGTCACTGGCACTAGAAAGCTGGGAGAGATAGCCAGCCTGCTCTTGGTTATTTTAAATTGCACTAGCCAATAGCAGGCTGTCTATTGCACCCGCCCACTGCCTGCTGTCAATCAGCAGAGGAGGACCTGAAGGAGAACGATCTCTTTCTGGTCCCTCCTCTGCTGATTGGCAGTGGGCAGGTGCAATACCCAGCCTGTTATTGCAATTTGTAATATCCAATAACAGGCGGGGTATGTCTCCCAGCCACTGCCTGCTGAGTTTATATTCAGCTGCCTCAGCAGGCAGTTGTCATTCCCCAATGAAGTGGAAAGGTGACACTTGGGGTCTAATAGACTCCAATGTCCCCTTAAAGCGGACCTTTACATTCAAAAATCATATTCTACCAATGCATCCCTCTCTGTATGATGATTAATAATAACATAAACATGTCAGGTGTAAAATGCTTTTGATTTTGAAATACTTACACTTGCAGAGCATTCACTTCCTTTGTCAGAAGGCTGGGGAAGAAAAGAGATATAAGGTATGCAAAGAATACAAATCCGGCAATTGTCTAAAGTATCTGTGAGTAGATTGTCATTACTGAATATTTCTAAAAGTGTGTTTGTTGTTATTTTAAAGATATGGGTAAAGGTCCGCTTTAAAGAGAACCTGTTATCTCCAAAGTGCTATTACACAGGGGGCTTGTGAGCCCCTCAATGTGATCGCAATGAAGTAAAAACAAAAGTTTAAAAAAAAATGTTTTTAAATGTAAATAAACTAAAATTAAAAATGCAAAAAAATAAATAAAGCCCTCTAAATGAGAGGGGGGGGGGGTGGGTGTTTTGCAGTCCTAACATACTCCTGTCCTGTGGTGACAATGATACTCAGAGTGACGGGAAGGACAAGAAGTGTGTTACTGGTAGGATTACAAGACGAAGAAAGACGCTAGAAGTAGCTGCATGTATCTTGAGCACCCTACAAAATACACTCGTGGTCAGCAGGGTTCTAGACTATTTTCTGGTTGCTGAGCCTCTCTATTGGCCCTTTACTATGATTGATGTCCTTATTGGAATGCCTGGCTTTCGTGAACCAGCATGTGATACTATTAGGAAGTGTTGAAGCTTGCCCATTAGGGCACCAGAGAACCAGGGGCACTTTTCCAAGGGTACTATAGTTATGTGCAGGTAGCTTTTAGATCCACTCTGGAAAATAATTTGTCTCTATACAAAGCTAGAATAGTCGGGAACCATTTCCTGTGGACAGAATGCCATCACTGACCTTTCCTCCTGAAAATGTTAGTTGCCTGGGTGCCATGCTGATTTGACTTGCTGAGCTGTAGTATGCATGCAGTTGTGACTTGCTGGTTGCATGGATGTTTCAGGTCAGTAGTATCTCCAGAAAGCCAGGCAACTGACATTTTTAAAAAGCAGGATTGGCAGCTCCTGTATGTGCCTCACAAATAAGAATACGACATAGCACGCCATAAAGAAAAAAGGATTTGATGTTGTAGAACCTGTATGTTCTAATAATTGGTGTGTTTTGTTACAGGTACAGCAATCCCCTCAGCAGCTCTCGCCGCAGCTCAATGTCCATCAATCTAACGATCAGCCAATCCAAGTGCAAGTCCAGATCCAGGGCACGGCTCAGTCTCAGGCACAGCAGGGGGCTCAGACAATACAGACTCAGTCCCTTCAAACCTCCAGTCCATCCCAGCAGTTGTCAAACTCCCAGTTACAGGTGGGCCAGATCCAGGTGCAGCATGTTCAGCCTGGCCAGCAGATGCAGCCTTCTGACATTCAGGATGACCACATACAGCACCAGCAGATCCAGGCACAGCTGGTGGCGGGACAGTCTGTCGGCAGTGGCATTCATATACAGACGGTTGGAGCTCTTTCTCCATCTCAACAGGGTTCTCCGAGAGAAGGAGAGCGACGGTCTAACACATCCAGCGTGCTTCAGCCAGTTAAGAAACGTAAAGTGGACATGCCCATTACTTTGTCTTATGCAATTTCAGGACAGCCCGTCGCCGCTGTGCTCGCAATCCCACAAGGCCAACAACAGAGTTACGTGTCTTTGAGGCCAGACTTGCTGACAGTGGACAGCGCCCATCTTTACGGTGCCACAGGCACTATTACAAGTCCGACAGGAGAGACTTGGACCATCCCGGTTTATTCGGCAAACACCCGCAGTGATTTGCAGCAACAGAACATAACTCACATCGCCATCCCCCCCGAGGCCTACAATGCCGTCCACGTAACAGGCTCCCCCACCACAGTGGCCGCTGTAAAGTTGGAGGATGACAAGGACAAAATGGCCAAAAACGCTCACGAGGAAGTGGTTCAGACTCTGGCAAACTCCCTATTTCCAGCTCAGTTTATGAATGGGAATATTCACATTCCGGTGGCAGTACAGGCTGTGGCAGGGGCCTATCAGAATACAGGACAGACTGTCCACATATGGGACCCTCAGCAGCAAACGCTACATGAACAGCTTCAGCAACAGACTCAACAGCACCACTCGCTACAGGTAACCTTAGAAAGGTGTTTGGTCTGTGACTTGTTTTTTGTTTAAGGGGACAAGTGTCACGCTATTCTTTTTTTTTTTTCTCCCTTTCATGGTTCCAATCTAAACCGATAAATGGACAAAGCAATGATCCAGTATTACTCCGTGTAATGTACATGTTTGTTTCACTTGTAGTCACAGGAACACAGCTATGTGCACATTGAAATGACTTTCTTTTTACTGCAAGTAAGCACCAGTAGCCAACTGGAACCTATTTCACCAACTGAAGGTGAAGTTCAGACTTGCAGGAGGTGTCAATTCTGTAAGCACATGGATGATAGGGAGTATAACTATTGTAGGGAGTATTGTATTGTGAGAAAGTGAGCTTATGGTTCAAAACAGAAGGGAGTCTGGTGTCTAAGAATTGCAGGCCTTGTAAGATGCAGATTTGTTTTTTTTTTGGGGGGGGGGTTTAAAGTACATATGTCTTTAATTTGTCATGAGGGATTTCAAAATAAATCCCTGCATTTTCAATGTTAGTAAGTTGTTTTATGGAAACTTGATGGCAGGATTTATATTGATAACTTATCTTATGCCCAAGTGTTTATCATGTTATAAAGGGTTGGCAGCCCACAAAACTGCATTCTATAAACTAATGAAGATAACAAAAATAACTTGATCTGAGACAAGTAGGGAGCCAGAAAAGTCCAAACTTCTATTCCAGGGGTAGGCAACCTCGGCACTTCAACTGTTATGGAACTACAAGTCCCATGAGACATTACAAGACTCTTGACAGCCACAGGCATGATTAACAGAAGCAGACGCATGCTGAGATTTGTAGTTTCTTCACAGCTGGAGTGCCAAGGTTGCCTAGCAGTACCTTGTTCTATTCTGTATGATTTTTCAGGTTAGTAGCTCACTAGATTGTGGATTGGATGACGTCTTGGAGAAATATACAGGGCTATTCACAAAAGGGTGAAGAGCTTGGAAAAGACAGGAGAAGTGAACAATCTAGGCCAAAATAGTTGATTTGGAAAAATTCTTCAATTCAGCTCACTTTCCGGCCTAGATTGTTCTCTTCTCCTTCCTTCTCCAAACTCTCCACCCTTTTGTGAATAACCCTGATAGTGTTCACTTTACAAACCTTTAGATCCCATTTACACTCTGTGTATGGTGGTACCACGTGCAATCCTGATGACTTCACTGCAGCGTAAAGGTGTATGTGCGTCGCCATCTATTGTGAATTGCTAGATAAGTCATCTGCAGCTCGCCACAACGCATGAGGATTGCAGTGTGAAGAAAGTGTGAAAAAAAACTTCATGTGGTTTAGATTTTTCGGTGTTGGGGCTCGTTAAAACAAATGGGCTGTGGTAACATGGCACTCCTCCATGCATGATAAAGCATGTTACAGCTCATGCATTTCCACACCACCGTATAGTGTAAACAAGCCCTTGGGGTTGAAACAGCTTGAATATTTTCACTTTTGTAGTCAAATTTGAGAACTCCCCACTATGTTTGTGTTTCTATACACACAGAATACCTTTAAAAAAAAAAAAAAAATCGTTTGTGTTGAACAGTCCTTTTAGACTGCGAGCTTCTCTGTACAATTTCAAAGTGACAGGAAACTAGGGCTGCAACTAATGATTATTTTCATAATCTATTAGTTGGCTGATTTTTTTTTTTTTTTTATAATTGTATAAAAAAAAATGTAATAAATACGTGGTAGTGGGCTGGTGCAATAGCCAGCCCGCTATTGGCCATTTCAATTTGCAATAGCCAATAGCCGGCTGGTTATTGCACCCGCCCACTGCTTGCTGTGCCCTCATCCCAGCTTAGAGGAGAGAGCTAGGGGATCCAACCAACTAGTCGATAAAGAGAATAGTTGACAACTCTTTTTTATCGATTTTAGTAGGTTGCAGCTCTACAGGAAACTGGTGGTCCCCATAGAAAGTAGGGACACTCTGAGCTTCCTCTTATTGACATGCAATGCTTCTAGTTCTTTTACCTATTGTTAGGACAGACATTGTTTAAATCTGGTTTACAACTGATAATGATATCTGCCAACACAGGGTTAATCATAGTGATGATATAGTTCACGTTCTGTTGTCTGTGGCAATCTGCGCTTCACCACAGCAGCCAATCACTTCCCCTCAGTAAGGGAGGATCTGATTGGCTTACCTGCCACCCAATAAGACCCAAATGTTTGTTTTAGGGAAATCTAAACCCTTCTGACCGGTTTTTACAGTACATATTCAGTTCTTTAGCTGCAATGTTTATTCTTGAGCCTTAATCTCTTTTAAATGTCTTTCCTGAACACTAGTGTTTGCACACGCAGGCTGGTTGGTTATTTTTGGCCGCGTGGTGAGAACATCCTGGGAAGAATGAGAAGTCCCGCCCCCTTTGTCTGGATAAAGGTTGACATTAAACACAATGCAGGTCTTTGCTGGTCTTGGGTCTAGGATGCTTCATATAAAGCAGGCCGCAAAAAGAAGCCAATATTGTCACTTGTTTCCTGAGAGGGATAAGCATTAGAAGGGAGACGGGTAATAACTTTGGTTGGAAAGGTTCAACCTGTTGCTACAGTTTCAAGTATTTGCTTACGGAATTAATGTTTCAGCCGAAGCCATTTGGGGTGTAGAGTGGAAGGAGGCAGGGAATGTGCACTTAAGACCAAGTGTATCCCATCATGCTCCTGACCAGAAAAGCCCAAAAGGAGGGTGGGTGCGGCAGTGGCAGCAGATGTCTCCGCAGATCATGTACAGATTTAAGTAGAAAGTCACTCGCACTCCAAGTGATTCTCTTTATTGACTATGGTAGTTTATCATCTCAAAGCAATTTATTCTATTTGGGGTGGAGAGTGGAAGGAGGCAGGGACTGTGCACTGGCACTCAGAACAATGGATTAGGTGTAAAAGTGAGCTGAGCAAGCCTGTTGACGCATCTATTTATAAAACATTTACACCACATCATGGCCACAAGATGGAAGTTCCTCTGCTTCATCTAGTGCCTATAATTTGGTGTAAATCCACAACTCAGTCATTTGCAGAGTGGACTGCTCTGTGAAGGTTTGTGAAATACACCCCATAGTCGTCTCTGGTGTGGATTTGACCATCCAGGCTAATGGCCAGATATGATGTGCAGGTTTGGTGTCCGTTCCCCACGCAGTATACTAGAACCATAGTCAAAACAAATCCACCTACACATAGCAGGTTCATCATTGTATAGCTGCACCTCATGTCCCACCTTTTTAATATTTTGAAAAGGTTGGTGCAGGGTACTTGGATGTCAAAGGAATCTCATCTCCTGATCAGCATCTTGGAGCTTCGGGCGATTTGGCTGTCTCTGCAGTGCTGGACCATCCAAAAAAAAAACCCCTTGCTCATCCCCATCATGACTGCAGGTTGGTTTATCGTTATTCCCAGCTTAGTGCTGATGAGCTCTCGCATAGTTGTATTGACACCTTGCCACGGGTAAGGGAGCAGATACAGGAAGGTGATTCAGTGTGGTCAGTCACTGTTGCCAGTAATATGTTCTGAGTGAATAGATTTCAGCATGCAATCTTCCATAATGAGCAAGGCTGGGAAAGAAGCTGATAATATCAGGAATTCTTCAGTGCTAGGGTAATGCTATATTTACAGCTCTGACTGGAAGACCTTGAATAGCACCAACAGGCCTAGTGTCCTTTCCTTCAGCTACTGATGTATTATCAGCCTTTTATACCGCAGAATAATTGCAAGCTGAATGAATTTTCTTTTTCCTCATGCTTTCCCTTTTTAATGTACGACTCCTACCCAAAAGACCTGCGGAGTGTGCTATAGATATCGAACTCTGCTAGGTAGAACAGTTCTCCTTGCCTGGCTGCCATGCTGATCCTCTAGCTTCAGTGCTTTCTGAAGCAATAACCTGGGAATAGTTTACAGTTCAGACATTCATCACTCAGTCCTCACTTTCGGCATGTTTCTTTTAGGTCTGTAACTCAAACTATTGTTCTTTATTACTTTCATTGCACTGCAGGTTTATCGGTCTGGTTAGACTGACTAGAATCACCCTATATGACAGATTTGTCGTCTCAAATATAATATAGACATTAGTACAGCTCTGTAATCATGAATACCTCATTAAATCTATTTTTTTTAATTGCAAGCAGTGTAAGCGCCTAAATTTGACTTGATATTAGCCTTTTGCATTCCATGTACAGCGGGGGATGGAGTGTGAAAGGATAAAGTACTACAATCAGTTCATGTTCTGTCAAAGCACGCTGAGAGCAGAGTGACATAGAGGTGAGCTCATCACAGTGCTGCTTCTCCTTTTGCTGTCCAGTCATAGGCTGGGGGGGCTGCAATGCTGTGTATGGGGGGACAGATTGTGCAATGGTAGCCGCGGAGGGGAAGCGGCTTTCAATCAAAGGTAAGAGCAATGGGCGGGGGGAGAAGGGGCAGATTGGTGTGGGCAATTCCATTGTCCCAATTTTGCAACTGAAATGACCCTTTTTAATATTTTCCAATGTAAAGAGCCAAGAAGTGACATAGGCACCACGGAGTACACTTCCCTTAATTGTTTCTGGGGCTCAGTCCCAATTTAGCGCATGGAGAAAGCCTCGGATGTGCCTGCTTCAGGGTGCCCACAACATTTTGGCTGGAGTAACACTAAGTTTAGTCAGTGATAAAATACTGGTTCTGCATTTAGAATACAAGACATTTGGGGTGAAAGGGAACAGTAGACGCTCCCTTTTTGGTTTCTTACCAGGTCCTGGTTAATACTGAAATTGTGAGAATCTCTGACGGCGGGGCAATGTGAATTTGCACAGGAGGCAGATGAAGCCTTTCAGCAATCCTATTACTAAACATCCAACAGTCCTGTGTGTCCCTTTCATGTTATCTGAGATGGTCAAGGTTTCTCTATATCTTTATTGTCTCGTAGGGACATGGTGTAATACAAAAAATAAATATGGTAAATAAGCATGCAGAAAGTGTTCATTGTTCCTTAGTCAGGTTAAAATTCCAGGCGGAGGATGAAGTAATTCATAGCATATGCTTTCCGATACAGTTTTCAAGTTACACTTCCGCTCCCACAAGCCAGTTTTGACCTAATAGAACCTCTTTGTTAAAGGGAAACTGGCCAGCATTGTTCCAGTGCGGTCATTCATACTTTAATTTTCTCCTTCAGATTTGGGGCTATAGTGCAGGCAGGCATTGGAGATCAGCCGAGGTCAGACTGACATCAGTTTGTGGTTTCATTGTATTCCTTCATACAAGTAAATGTGAACGCATGTTAAATGCATTGCAGACACTCGTACACTAGCTCTTATTGCATGTCATTGGGAGCATAATTATAGCCCAACTTGGGCACAATAATAATCCTAATCAGACCGGTCTCATTCTGCAAATCGTCAGTATGCATGTGCGTCTCCCACTGAACTTCCACGCCTGCTCAGGCTGTAGTGCTGTAGTGCTGCAGATCTCAGTGCAGTGGTCGCATTCTGTCCCCCACTCCTCCTAACCATTTACAAAACGAAGTCTGAGGCTTTGTGATTGGCCAGGAGGAAAGGGGGATGAAAATGCAACCATAGTGTTGAGGTCCGAGAGACCTGTAGTACTTGCGGCCATGGCAGTTTGGCAGGAACCGGACTTGCACCCACTTGTACTGTATACTAGGGATGCCAATTTGGGTGAGTACTCGTACTCTCCCAAATGCTCAGATACTTACCCCCAATACCGGAACTTCCGGTCATAGGGAGATTTCCTCTGACCGGCAGGGCGTGGAGGGAACATGGAGACGGTTGAGCTGATTGGCCAGGGAGCCGGGCTTCATGCTGTTTCCCAGCCAATCAGGAAGCTGGGCCGTGGGTAATGACCCACCTCCCGGCTTCCTGATTGGCCGGGAAGCCAGCTCAATGCTACCGGAAGTACCGGTATTGGCAAGTACCGAAATAAATATTGTTACTCGATACTGAAAAACCAGTATCAGTGCATCCCTACTGTATACCGATGATTTGCATGAAGAAGGAGGCAGGTCTGATTAGGAAAGTGGCAGAGTTACTCTGCAATTAGATGATTGCGCCCGGAGTTGCGCTTTAAAATGTTTAGTGCTGCTAAAAATGTTCAGAAATACGATTTTAAAAGCTTTCGTTTTTTGGAGATTCATCAAAGCAAAACCTTTGGGGTCAGACCCAATTTTAGATGTTTATGATTCGGCACATATCAAAACAAATCCATATGGTAACGTTATTTTAAAAGTACCCTGAATATTTTTCTAATAAGCAGAAAAATGGGCAAAATTGTGCAAAACATGCATTTCTAGCCCATGTGATGGGTGAATTAGATTTGGAATAGATAGAAATATTCTCTTATTAATCCTGAATACAGGGATCCTGGGTATATGTAGGTTTGCATACAGACCTAGAGCTGTGTGGTCAGTAAACCAAGTGTGTATTCTAGATAATGGGCATTTTCCGGTACTATAATATAATATACTATACTGTATATTGTACTTCACAGATTAAAAAAATAAATAAAAAAAATTGACATAGCACTAAAGTGATTCTGTTACTACTGGGTAAGTACAAAAAGAAGCAATGCCTATAAAAGAAGAGGCAGCTCTATACTTCTCTTTCTTGCAGCCCATGTGTTGAAACTCTGCTGCATGAATTGAACACTTTCAGTGTGTCGGATACCTGCTCCCCTGCTGTGGGCTTTGGTTTCCCCCTGCTGGCTTGTATGTTGCTACAGTACATGAACTAGTGGGAGAAACCATGGAATTCAGGGAGGGGGGAGCAAGTATTTTACCCAAAAGGTTGAAGACTTGCAGTGGCCAAGGACCACCATCACTGGGACTTTGTACTACTTGGGCCACTAGCAAGGTAAGTATTGAGTCTGTTCTTTTACAGACCATTCTTTCTGATTTGACCCTGTAGTCACTGTGATCGGCCTCAGGTAAAACGCTAACCTCTATTGCTGACTAACCAGCTAATGTAATCTGATGTAGTTACTTGTTTTTAATGCTTGATGACTATGCGAATGAGTGCAAGCGTCCACCAGAAGTGTGTGTGTGTCCAGCATATGGAGATATAATTCCAAGTGATGTGTGTCAAGATATTCACTAATTACAATTATCAATAAAAATATTTCCAACACAGCCCACTTCCTGTCCAGTAATTCCATAATTAAACTGCCGGATGTCATTTCATTGCCTATAGCAGCTGCTTCCATAGAGAAATGAGTTACAAGGCTGATATCTCCTAGTTTTTTGTACAGCAATGGCTACGTGCTTCGTTGTGAATGTTAACGTTTATGTAAACCCAGTCACTAAAATCTCCTCTTTTAACATGTCCGGGCCTTTTCTCTATATTTTTAAATCTGTAGCTTTTAAACAATACCTGGCGATCCTGCTATTAAAGTTCATTGTTCAGGCTATGCCCGATGAAGGGACATTGCGTGGCCCCGAAAGTGAATCTCAATAAGACTCAATAAATCTACCATTGATGATCCTTTAAGGAATCTGGGGTGCTGGTGACGTTTTCTGATACTCCTGTTATAGGGTGACAACTCTCTGTCCCTGTCTTCCCATTGCACCCCTGCATTGTTGCTCTGTCACACAGGCTACCATTCAAGAATACAATTGGTCATTTCACATTGCATTACACACACATTACACATTGCACGGTCCTCTGTCACCATTGGGAAACTTGACCTGTGAAATGCCTTTCATCCATTACCGAAGTGCAAGTAGACAGAAAGTGGTTGTGGGAGATCAGCAGCACTGAAAGGCAACAAAGCAAAAAAAAAACATGGCAGTTTGATAAACAGCATTTAGCAAACCAAATGTCATTCAGTCATGTCTTACATCTAAAGGTTTTGCCCGGAGTAACAGAATTAAGAGCATATCATTATGGTAAATGATTCATTTGGTGGTTGTTCTGATGGTAGGCTGGCACGCCCACACTGATGCTGCTTTCACTATCCTCCTATACTGCTTAATATACTGCCAGCAATCACAGCAGTGTTCTCCATGTGAAACAACGATGCCGGCCTTTTAGATGGATATGATTGCTTTAAATAAAAGGTTTATACCCGCTTGAGGTTTTTTTTACCTTTCAGCATGGTGGAGACTCCTCAGGTGGCGATGCCAAAACCTTGGATCCCCCATCTGAAGTCTGTTGGCCAGAGGGTCTAGTCTGCACTCTGCTTTGCTTGACTAATCATTGTTCTTGTGCTTTCCCCCTCAGAGTCAACCTGTACAAGTTGCAGAGGAACCGCCTCCACAGCCTTCCCCAGAGCTAATGTTACCAAACACCTTGAAGCCAGAAGAGGGACTGGAAGTCTGGAAGAACTGGGCACAGACTAAGAACGCAGAGCTGGAGAAAGACTCACGGAACCGATTAGCACCCATAGGAAGTATGTTATTCTGTATATCTAGATTAGTTACTCAGCATTAAATGACAAATTGTTAAAGTGACACTAAACACAGGAGTTGAATCTTAAAAATACATTCAAGTACCTTAACGACTAACATAAATGTATCTTGTGTATCACTCGGCTGTAGATCCTCAAATCATCTCTGAATTGGTCCTAACACTGTCCTTCCTTCTGGAGGGGGGCTACTTTTGTTCCCCATGGTCCCAGTGTGTGCTGTAAAGTAGTCACCGCTCCTGTGATGGACTACAATCTCATGTTTAGTTTACCAACTTGTATTGAGATTGTAGTCCATCACAGGAGTGAGCTTGGAGTGGTGACCATTTTACAGCACACACTGGGACAATGGGGAACAAAAGTAGCCCCCCTCCAGAAGGAAGGACAGTGTCTGTACCAATTCAGAGAGGATTTGAGTGATACAAAAATAAGATACATTTTTAATAGTTTAAGGTACTTAAATGTGTATACAAAGAAAAAGAAAAACATTTATGAACTTTGAACACTTAAGCATAAAACAAATAGTAAACCCTTTAAAATACCTATGTGGGTTTGTTTTGTGGTTTTTGTTTTTTTTCCCCCCCCTGTTCATTTTACATTAAATTAAAAGGAAACTCCTCAAGAGGCACATCAACATGCACCTTAAAGTGCATTGCTATGTGTAAAATGCACAGCCACACACATGAAAATGCATTTTATTGTGCTTCATGTGTCAGGGCCACTGGCTCATCAGCCTTCAGGTACTTGTGGCAGTTGTCTGAAGACGAGCTACATGTACGCCTTTTACAAGCATGGGCTGTACAAAGGTTGTCTAATTGTAAATATTTAATCAAAGCTCAATTTCAGCCAAGATTTAGTTTTAGATAGTTATGAGAAGAATAAATACTTCTGTCAAGTTTTATATTGCTTTCTGTCACTCGATTTGGCATTAAATGAGGTGAGCCATTCTCGCTGGGACAGGAAGACACAGCAATATCTTGACGCCGGTTCCAAACCTTCCCCATTTTACTTTTTGTTGCAGTTTGTTTCCACTGGAGACATATCCTCACCTTCTGTACTGGTAGGAGGTTAGAGCAAATCTTCCTAATAGGTAGACTGACCCCCAGTTAAAAACATGGCAGAGGTTCTGTTCCTTCCCCATTGTGTCTAAAAACTTTAAAGTCTTGCTTGTAGGTGAGCTTTAAATGTTTGGAATAAATAGCAATTTGATTACTGCTTTTCATATCCTGAGCCCCCCACCCTTTCCATTTGCAACACTTGCCTTGTCAGGTTACTCGGCTGCTTCTTCTGTTGTCACAACCAGAAAATCCCCGGTGCTGGCTGGGGAGAGCGGTGACGTCACTCCCTCTGTAATGTGACAGTGTTCTGGTCTAGTGACATTCTAACCTTTTTTTATAATCAAAGGTTAAAACAAAAGAACTCCCCATCTCCCTCTTATTATAGCATAATGTTATTTCTAGGATTGTATGTGCTCCGAAATATAGCAAAGAGCAAAACAACGAAGTGCAACAAATGTTTTATTAGACACTCTACTGTGAACTGCTAGGATACAATGCATAGATAATGGCCAGTAACAGCACTATCTGATTTAATACAGACCTGCCTTTTTTTTTCCTGCGTGTTCGTAATCTCCGCTGTGCCACACATTGTCTTTGTAGGGCGTCAGCTGCTGAGGTTTCAGGAGGACCTCATCTCTTCAGCAGTAGCAGAGCTGAATTATGGTCTGTGTCTTATGACAAAAGAATCTCGTAATGCGGAAGGAGAGCCCTATGACCCCGATGTACTATATTATATTTTGCTATGTATCCAGAAGGTGAGTGGCTATGTGTTGGTTTTCTGCTTAATGTGGAACTAGTGCAGTCCTAGGCCTGTGGATGACAAATGTCTAGTCTAGTCCCCACTATTGCCTTTTCATCTCCCTGCAGCTGATCTTTTCCTTATTACTGACTTACCATGCCTTGTTCCGCGCTGTGTCTGTGTGGAGGCAGCCATCTTGGTATATGCAGGGCCTTGCATTGCTTTCATGTCAGAGCTGTCCCTATGTCTGGTGATATGATTGGGGGAGGGGGGGGGGGGGGGG